AACCTTGGACCACAACCATTCCGGCTTCCTACGATGGCTGCCGATCGGGGCTTCCCGTGCCTTTTCTACCTTAGGCTTCAGCGCTGTGCACTTTTCCAGCTCATCCAACAGGTGATCAAACAAGGTTGTTTCCCTGGGTTGTTCTGCTACGGGGATTGCGGTCAGCACGTAAACGTACTTCTCCCGAAAGGCATCCAGGTCAGCAAGGGACGGGCCTGCAAGAGACAACTTTAACAAGTTACGGCCTCCTAAGGTCCCTATCCTACCTCGTTCCAACTGAAAGTGCTTGAAGATGGCACGCAACATGATTCTCCCTACGGGCATCCCACCTGATGAGATTCTCTCTTGTTCAACCATGTTTTGAAACAAGAGCCCGAACTTAGCTTTGCGGCAGGTTTTAAGGAGCTTTGCGGCTACTTCACGATCTAACCGTGGGAAACGCTTGTCCGCGATGAGTTCTTGCTCGGTGGAGGACATGCATGCTTGGGTCCACTGGTACACTTCATCTCCGGGGGTCTTCTGGAGTCGACCGATGGCCATCAAAACTTGATTGACGAAACCTCTAGCCTGACCAGCGTTCTCCGGAGGGGATGGTAGTACAAGATCCTTGAGATCCTTGACGCGGACAACGGACTCCTCGTATGCGGCGTGATCTACGGCGGTCATGCTTGCGCTGGGATCGGCAGCCTGAGACGGGTCTGCATTGGGGAACTGGCCAGAGCCTCCCCCGCCTCCCCCACCACCATTCATGGTGAGGTATGGGCAATCCGTGTCTTCATGGCTACCGCCGCAAACTCGACATTGTGGGGTATCATCATCTCCATCGGAGTCTGATGATGAGTCGGAGCTAGCGGCCGATGGCGCTTGTGGGGATGACGAGTACAACCCTCCCAACATTGTGATTGGTACTGGCGGAACACGAGTGCCGTTGCCAGCTTTTGGCGGAGGCGGCGCCCCTGCGAGGGGCGTGGGAGGCGCTGGAGGTGGTGCGGCCGGAGGCGGAGGTGGCGGAGCCACTTGATTAGCAACCAATTGGGAAAGCTGCTGAACCATTTCCGCTAACGCCGTCACTTGCACTCTCACATCGGCTTGATCCCTTGTACCGTCTCTACCCAACCCGCTAGTCCTCGACGCGCCGGGGGCTGCGTCTCCAACAGAGGACGCTGCTCCTAGCACTGCCGAATGGCCTGCGAGATGTTGACTTGTTGCACCCCCACCAGGGTCCCTTGAATCAGCTGGGGCATCGTGACCAAGTCCTGAACTTTGAACAGAACCACACGGAGGGTCGGGGATAGTACTTGTAAAAGCATTCCCTTGCGACGATGCGGCAACACCGGAGGCATCTTGTGAATCTGAAACCTGAGGTGCTCCAACCGGCTGATGGGTTCCTGGGGGAACTGTGCCCTGACTTGAGGCTTTAGCCGCGCTTGTTTCCGTAGCTGTTTCGGCTATTGAGGCGGCTTTTGGCGGGGACTCTTGAATCGGAACAGGGGTCGCACGAGCTTGTTGGGTGAGGTGCGCAACAACACGTTCGAGATCACCAAGTCGTTGATGCATCACAGAATTTTCCTGGGACAATCCACGAATGGTATGCTCTTGACTGGCAATGGTTTGTTCTCTTTGTGAGATTGCCTGTTGAGCCTCTTGAACAATGCGTTGAACCTCTTGCTGAGCGTCCTGTTGAGTGGCATTAACAACCTGTCGTGCGTTCTCGACATGGCCAATGGCTTCCTGTCGTGTCTGCTCGATTAGTTGCCTAGCCTGAGCCTCACTTTGTTGTGCTGTTTGTACAGCCTGCTGTGCTTGCGAAGCTAGCTGAGCGGCCTGAACCCTAACGTCTGATACTTCTCTTACAGCCCTTTCCCTGATCCATCCGGCCTCTTGTCTCGCCTGGTCGGCGGCCTGCTGTTGGTGCAAGGCGTGATTGGCTGCCTGAGCAGCGAGGTCGGATGCTCGATGAGCTTGCTGCACCGCAGCTCCAGCTATAAATGCCGCAGCGGGTACGTTAGTCATCGGGTCAGGTAATTGCGATCCCTGTGAAGGAAACTGAATGGCTGGGGAAGCTTCGGATGATGTAGGTTCTGACACGATCGGACCACTCGGGGGTGATGATGGTCGTGTTTGGGCTGCTCGTTGAGGTGTGGATGTGCGAACTGTGGACATAGCTGCAGGAACCATGGCTAGGTCAGGGTCATCCGGTTCAGAATCCCTATTTGGGGTCGACCTTGAACGGGGTTCTGATGGCGGTGATAAGCCCGTTGAAGCCATGACACAGCGATGCAATTTTGCACTCACACGAAGCTAGCTCCACGCGCTTTGAGCAGCGTGTCAAAAGGTGCTACGAGGAGATATCCCTGGATTGGCAGCTGGTTGCGAAACGCTCAAGTGAGCCACTCAAGAAAATACGCCCTGCTGCTTTGCACCTGATGAATTCTGTATTTGTAATTGTACTTGTAGATTGATTGATCCGCACTGCCGCACTATGGTGCTTTATCGAGGGATGTTGCCAAGCTGTATTGAGAATTTGTCTGCAAATCGAATGCCTGTAGCTGCAAAGATGCTGTACCGCGCAAAGCGACGGTTTTAACGGCTTGCAAAGAAAGGCTATCGAAGTACCCGGTTGGCGGGCAACTGGGATGCAGATCGGTGGAGCTCCTCGAGGTACTGCGATGGATGCAGGCCCCTTGCCGCCGGAATGAAAAGTCGATTCCGGGACTCGATATACTCCCCAAGGTTCTCAAGCGCGTTGGCAAATCCGCTCGGCCCGAAATGCGGGAAGTTGCGGAACGCTGCGACGCCTGTCTTTTGAGCTTCACGGACAATCGCAGCTGTATCGTCGATGAGGGCGTGAACACCCAGCCCCAAGAGGGCGTCTGCTTTGCCGCCCCTGCCCAACCTTTCGTGTACGATTTTTATCGCAGAGAAAGTGAGTCCAGCTGTCGCCCGCGCGTGCTCCAGGGCGACCTGGAACTCACGGCGGCGATACTCGCTTGCAGCCCTGCCCACGAAGGATAGCACTATAAAATTTATAGGTGCGTAGTCGGCTGCAAATTGAACGAGATGCCGGATCACCTCCGGGTTGAGGTGGGGTCCCTGCTGCCCAACGTCAAGAACTCCGTGCCAGTCAAGAGCGATGGTAAGCTCCTTGGGCGGCACAGGCCTTCCAGGCGGCGGGGGTGGCGCAGGCGGTGGCCTTCTTGGTGGCGATCGAAAGCGTGTGCCAGCCTCGGAAGTTGCAGCGCTAGCAGCAGCTGCTTTAACGACCTGCGGCGGTGGCGGCTTGACGATGTACCCTTGTGGCGGGTTTGAGCCCGATTTGCTTCTGGGTTCGGCTTTGTTCAAACCTCGCGGAGGCGCCTTGTGCCCGAATGCACTCTGAGTCCGAATAGGAGACCTTGCTCGCGGCGGGGATTTCCTCGGAATATCTGCTTTTGCCGGTGCCGAAGAAGCTGCACGAGGAAGTTCCTTGGGCAATGGAGGCTTGCTGCCAAAAATGACCTTTGGTGCGGCCTTTGGTGGCGGCGGTTGAATTGCTCCAATCCTCCGGCTATGCAAAGCAATAGGCTCAGTGTGAGTCGGTGCCTCGTATACGCGCCGAGGCACGTAAGCTGACCTGCCAGTTCTGATGGATTCCGCGTCCTGCGGAGGTTCCTCTTCCGAGCTGTAGGCGTCGAGGCGATAGTGCTCCGCTGGCCCTGGGCGTCGATCTGGAGATCGTGATCGCGAGCTTGTGGATGATCTTCTTGGGGGATCTCTCCACGTCTCGTCCGCAAGCGAATACGGGTCAGCCTGACGGAGATGTCCGGATGTCCGCTGTGCTCGGCGGTGAGATGTCGCCTCACGTGGCTGTGAAGCCTCCCGAACGAGTACCCAAGTGCCGTGCTCGTCAAATCGTGTCACAGGGTATATACTGTTCTGTGGAGCCAATACAATGGGCCGTGTGGCAAGGGAAGTCCTGGATGGCCTGCCCTCCCGCGCAAGCGCGGGTTCAACACTGTGTGCCCGATGTTCCACAGGGGTAGCAGCAGTCGGTCCTCGTCTCGGAGGCGATGGAGACCTCGACCTTCGGGGCGATGGGGACCTCGATCTTTGTGGCGACCGTTCCCTGCTGCTCTCCCGCCGCGTTTCCGCAGCTCTAGCGTACACCCCGCGAAGCGCTGTCTTGGCGGCGCCCCGCAACACTTGTCTTTCCTCTGCTGATGGTCGGATGCGAGGCAATGGAGTGCGCGAATCTTGTAGCCAGGATGAAGCTGAAGGAGGCGTCGGAGGGCGTAGCCAGTCCGCTGCACTGCTCGCTGCTTCCGCCGCGCCAGAGGCTGCGGCTTTATCCTGAGATTGCACACCTTGCGGCAAGACCACACCTGCGGTTTCAACCGATGCGAGACGCTGCTGATAAGCGTTGTCCGCGGCCTGGATCACTTCGAAGGCCTCTTGGTCAAAATCCCACAGGTGCCAACTATCCAATGACTCACGCCAGGAAAAGAGCGCCTCGATCTGTTGCTTCGAGGCGTCTGCAAACCTGACCCACCGGAATCGTCTGTTCTGCCGTTTGTACTCGTCAACGACGATCTGTTGCAGAGTGTTGAATAGACGGGCACGCGGCCCTTTCCCACCGCGAGTGCCGCGGTGAGGGCCGGCTTCCATGTGCGACCAAACGGTCGCAGTCACGGAGGGGTTTGTTTACCCGAAAAGCGTTACGGCTGATAACCACTCAAAGGAGAGGGAAACACAGTTTTGTCAACAACGGGGGAACCCGGGACCTTAAAAGGAACGAACCCCTCCGTGACTGCGACCTCTCCCTTAACCTTGTGGGTAGCGCGAGCAACGCGCTCTTTTCAGCACTTGAGCCAAATGACATGCGGACATGTCATCTGGGTCCTTGTCATGTTTGTACATCATGCAACTTGTTGTACCTCTGGGCCATAAATGTCATCGTGATAATTGACTCAATAATACCTGAACTTCACACACGAACCTGGCCAATGTCACACCATGCGCGCCTCGTCTCCTTGCAAGCAAAGCAGCTCTTTAGTTGAAAAATCTGACGGACATCTGACACTGACAAACTTAGTTGTGCAGCTGGGCATCCGAAATGTTCGCCAACCTGTGGGTCCTGCGGAATGCAAGTAAATCCCGCCAGAAAAGCCTTCATGAAGAACCATCGATTGCTTGCTGAGGCAGAGGGTGCTGTCAAAGCCAGCTTTTTGCAATGAATTCTCTTCGCCTGGGGCACTACAGAAACGCACTGCATCGGCACGACATCCTGTGAGGTGTCAAGCGAAGGAAATTGCAAGGTATCGCCAATTGCAGCAAGTCCTCCAAGTTGCACCTCTCCTGGAGCAATCCAAGCAGTAGTGGCAAACCAGCGAGGCCAAGAAACGCAGCTTCATTATTCATGACCATTTTGTTTGAGTTGCTGTAATAAACAGTGTGAACGACAACACACGTGCTCCTGAAGGATCTCGTCATCGAAGTCGATGTCCTGCTGGACTTCGAAAGAAGCGTCCTGTCGTGCTGTCGCAATGCAATTCGCAGGGCACCCAAGCAAGCGTTGCCAGCTGTGTCTGGCACACGGCAGGTCACTCCGCAAAACAAACATGCTCTTTCTTCACTGTCTTGGCTCTTGGCGCTCGACAAGTTGCAAAATCCCTTCGGCTTCCAGCCAATTCAAGCTTAAGAGGCTCAACAGGAGGCAAAGGCATAGCAGGCCAGGTCGCCATCTGCCCCTAGCACCAGTAGAACACCTGACTCCACGGCTATGCAAACCCGATCCAGATCCGACCCTCGCCCCGCCTGCAGCCAGATCTGCCTGCATCAAGATGACTCCACCTTCCAGTTCGGGCAGCACATGCCAAGTGTAAAACGGAAAGCTCAATCGCCCTACGATATGAAAAAGACGAGAAACAAACTAGAAACGAGGGATTTCACGACGGCGGGCTAAGATACTTGTCGGGTCCAGGAGTTTGCATTCGGGCCAGACCATCTCGCTTTGGAATGTTGCTCAAAGTTGAAATGCAAGAGAAAGGCTCTGCCAACAGGCTTGATTGAACCGCAAACCTGGCCGACTTGAGCTGATGGAAGTTCGATGGCAAGCTGCATCAGGCATGGAGAACGGAGGCTCGGTAGGGATTTGGTCTGGGGCTAGCAAGCGAGATCAGAGTGCAGGCTCTCCGCTGGGATTTCGCAGAGAGTGCCGGGATTTGATTCGGGGCAGACAGCAAGAACGAGGTGCGGACAGCCATGTTGCCTTCGGGACTTGGCTCGGGAAGGAGTGAAGGAGTGGACCAGGCTAGGGTTTCGAAGTGAAGGAGTGAAGGTGTGTGCGCCGGGATTTGGCTCCGGGTGTGGACCGGTGGGATTTGGTCCGCGACCCTGACAAGGATTCAACATTTGGAACGAAGGACTTCCACGCCGCACGCACACACTGAGCACGCGCCTTGAGACTCGGGTTCGCCCGTGGCTCGGCTTGTACGGTCTGCTTGGCTTTTTGAGGCATCAGAGTAGCTGATTTCATACGCAGGGAGAAATGGCAGCTCATCTGGGTTTTCTCTGTGAGTGTGCGCGCGTGAGACAAAATGCGTGACAACACAGGCCTAATAGCATCTGACTTGAGTCTGTGAGTCCGTGTGAAAAGTGTTCAAAGGTGTGAACTTCAGCTTGCAGAAAAAGATCCCAAGGGAGGTACATTTGACTGCGTGGTTCGGCGCCGCTTCGGACTTTCGATCCTTGCGTGGGGACTCCATGCGCGGGGACTCCATGCGAGGCCGCCTAGGCCGGATCACCAGATGGTCATGGTGCAAGGCGATCTGATGCATTTTCAGCATGGTAAAGGTGTGGCAGAACCCTCGCACGCTGCAAAGTGCAGGCTCGGCTTGTGGTGGGTTGTCACAACCAGAATACAGGGCACACTCGGGGTCTCCTTGGCTGCACATCGAGTGGGGAGAGCTTGCACCTCCCCCAGCGAGTGACATCACGTACATCGACTGTCAGCGTGGCTTGGCTGGATTTGCAGTAGCTGGAAACTCTCCCGTGGCACACGCAATGTTGCTTACCAAAAAGGGTACTGTGGTACATTGGCCCAGCATATAGAATTGCATTTCAACTGCACACATACTTGCTACGGACAAGAGCAGTACGGACGCCCCTCCAATTGCGCACATGCCTTCCCCTCGGCGTGATGACACACATGATCAACTGGCTACAGTTGGCCACATTAACAGAACAAAATTTAGGTTGATGCCGTGAAGCCCACTTCCTCACAAACTGGCCTCTGGTACCTGAAACCATGTCGTGGAAAATTGACTGATCACACTTGCTGCGCAGAGCCCACCGCGAGCCGTGTGCATTTGAGCAAGCCTTTCAAACAGCTCTCACAAGCCCAGCCTCCAAAACCACCATAGACTCCATGAAGGATGCAAAAAGAATTCCCATTTCGAGTCAAGTCGAGGACTTGCAAATCCTCACCGCAACCTCAGTGGTTGCACTAAAAGAGCCCAGACCGCATCCGCTCATGCTTTGCGCACGCACGAATCAGAAAGCAGGAAGCATCCGCAATCCACAAGGCAAGCAACGTGTCTCAGGCTGCGACCCATGGCTCTGGGAAACAGAATTGATGCCAACATCGAATTGATGCAAACCCGCTTGTGCAGCTCCCCAACTGCATCGATTTCTCTGCTGAGCCAGCATTGTGCATCTGACATCAGCGAATGCTCACAGACGGTCACAGCGTTCAAAGAACATGGCAGCCGCGCAAGAGAAAGCTTAGGCCTCCTTCCAGAAAGTATCGCCAGAGCTCCAGCTTGGCTGCGAACCGCACAAGAAATAGTCTTTGTTGAGGAATAAAACACATCTCTTCCGGTGTCCACTCCTAGAGGGGAGCCGTTTCGACTGCCAAAAGCCGGTGCCGAGAAGTGTGCCAAACAGATGTGAAAAGTAAATCACCGTTCTGTTTGCTTTGTGCATTTGCAAAGGTGCTCCTCGGTGCCGTGGAGCCGGCAAATCTGACGTTCGGAAGCCAGATCAACCAGCACAGCGGCTGAGTGCTGACGCTTGCCTCGGTTCGAACCAAAATCACATCGACATCGATACCATTGATATCTGCCTATCGATCATCTGCACGCAAGTTGCAGATATTGCTGAAAAGACACAAAGCAAGACCTGGTCTGTCACGAGATCTGCTAGTTGAAGGGCAGAAGTGCCAAAAAGTAGCACCTACGACAAGGAGAACTCGGTGCATGGTGAAAACTGAGGGCAGAAGCACAACTGAAAGATCAGAGAAAGGAATCCACACCTGCGCAGCTGAAGTTTGCCCTGTCTCCGCGCTGTAAAGCGTCACATGCAGCGAATCCGACGCAGTGACAAGCGCGGCTGAACCTGGTCGTCACTGTGCCAACGCCCGCATGGATCTGTCCAATATGCAAAGACACTTGCCGGCAATCTAGATCCAGCATGTCCATAGCGGCGGGAAGGCTCTTCAGTGTACAATGCATCAAGTCAGATGCAGAAAGACTTCTACCAGGCGAGTGCCTTCCAAGCAACCCAGACAGTGGAGAAAAAGGGGAATGCTTGGAAAATCCTGGCGTGAGCAAGAGCTGTCTTGCCAGACTCGCGCGTTTCAACTCTCAGTCCTGGAGCCCCACTCGGAAGCGAAGCTGCAGAGAACTGTCATCCCAGCAGGACAGCGCGCCAGTGTCCAAAGTCCAGAGACATCGGTTGGCATCATCGTGCTCAACAAAACCACCTGTCAAAGTCAAACGAACCAACTTGACGCTTGCACAAAATCAAGCTTGTGAGAGCCAAAATCCCAGCTCTGATGCCTGCCGCCAACACCTTTTCCCGTTCCTTCCTACATTCCTCCACTCCTACCATCCGCCGTCCTCTCCCATTTCGTTCTCTCTCTCTCTCTCTCGCTCTCTCTCTCCCTCGGTAAAATCAGTTGCTACTTTGTTGTCACGAACATAAACCAATGTAGTCTGCAGCTGCCAACCTTTTCACTACTGCAGCCGTAGTAAGCTCAAGGCCTGCAGTAGTGTACATACATGCAACACAAGTGCAAGAAGTGAAGCATGTAGTTTGACACGGCCCCTCAGTTAAAAGGTCTTTTCTGTAGTACCTTTTCAACTGGAGTGGAAAACAGAGATTGGCAGTAGTGATGAAAACCATTGTTGTTCATCAATGCTTGCTACTGTAGCGACAAAAAAAGGTAGGTGCTGCTCTCAGTAGCTCTCGCTGTTCAAGGTCCAGTACAAAGTAGTGCAAGTACTGGATGGAGTTCGTGAGGCAGGTACCTAATGTAGTTGATCTCCTAGCTCAGGCATGTAGTGCCCACAATGCTGGGCCTGGTAGGCTTGGACCATCTGTAGTCGATTGCCCAAGGATGCAAAGTAGTTGGTGGTGAAGTAGCTGGTCATGTAGTTGGGGGCACTGCGAAGTCGGTCATCATCAATTTCTGGACGTGCCATTTGTTGGTAGTCTCTGAGAAAACGGTGTAGTTGAATCTTGTGTTGTTGTGTCAGGTTGGTCACTGTCAGTAGTGTGAACCCGTAGTATTGAATGCTTTTGGAAAGAATTGTAGTGATGGCTTTGTGTTGGAAGTCATGTAGTTGGACGTGGTTGTTGAGGTAGCGAAGGGGGTCCGTTAGTAGCAGTGGCATGCGGTAGTTCCAGATGTAGTTGCTCTTCAAACTGTAGGTGTCGGTGAAAGTAGTCATGTCGTAGTCCACCTTGTAGACAAGTTGTGAATGTTGTGTAGTTGGGAGGAGGTAGAATGTGTTCTGAATGGACACCATGTAGGAGATGTAGCCCCTGTGAAGTACAAATTGTTCAAAGGTAAGACACATCAAAAAGAGTTCTTGTTCAACCTAACCTGTAGTCGAACAATGACGTAGGTGTAGTTGTTGCCAGTTGTAGTGTGCATTGATGGTGTGTGGTAGTAGTGTACGTTGGCTGCCTCAGGTAGTGCGATGCTGAGAAGTGTGGAATTGTAGAGTGGCATCCGTAGGTCTCCTGGGATGCTAGTGTGTAGTCAAGTTGTGAAAGAGGAGTTTCTTGTTCGTGAGAGTGATTGGTACTCTTCAAGCGTAAGTGCAATGAAGAGTTGAGCGTAGGGCTCAACGCTAGGGCCACGATGCTTGGCTTTGCCTTCGTGATTGGCTCTCAGTACTCCTCCTTGCAAACAAGACAGGTCTGTAGACCATGTCGCCCGCCTCTTCCCCGGCAGGCACGGCATCGGGGAAATAGATCGCTGCATTTGAAGCATGCGCACTGGGAGCAAAGTCGTGCGTCTCTCCGGCGTGGCCTCAGCTTCATCAACCGCATCAAGAACTCCAGGAATGGTCTCGTCATTGCCCCTCCTAGGTGGTTGGTGGAACGGGATGTCGAGGAGGTCGAAGGGAGGTGCCTTTGCCAGGTGAATCCTGTTCGGATCATTTGGGGCGGACTCTCTCCGAGTCTGACGCCCAGCGAAGGCTGCGAAGAGACCAGCATGGGTTCTCGATGAGGCGGAGA